TCTTTTGTAAAATAGTACTGTTCTTCACACGAAAATAGCCACATTTTGACGTAGTCTTCATTGAATGACACTATGTCGAAAGCTGCAGCTTCTACAAGAAATAAACTATTTGTGTAGATGACATTACCTCCCAACTACCCCATCTTCTTCATTGTAGAGATGTTTTGACGCATTCAGCATGAAACACTAATCATTACAACCAATATGCTAAGTGTGTCGCAGTCAGATTAAATGACGCGAACACCAACATAACTAGCCAGGAAATGAGAATTCCTATCAATCCAGAAAACATATAACAAAATTTTATTGAAAATTATTGACAAGAAAAATTTGTTGAGCGAAATTTCAACCAACATGCCGGATAAGTCCAGCCCCCAATTTGAACAAAACAAGAACAAGATACGATGCCGCACACAAAATGTTATATGGAGGAATTGACTTCAAGCTTTATTTTTTCCCAAATATTTGTAATTTATCCGACACATACTTGGGTTTTTTTGTTAATGCGAAGACAATATTTCTATATTTCTTGATGTGCTCTATTGAATGACTAGTTATCATATTGTCCCCATAGACAAAATGACTGCAACCATATTATTTAACCATGAACCAAATTTATGTAATTTAAATAATACTTATCCATGCCTGTACAATTGGTGTGTCCTACACAGGTAGGAAAAAATTATTTTATTAAATTACTATTATTAAATATGCTTACTAATCGTATATGTAATTTATCACAGAGATGATGACTGTAAACTGGCGTCCCTCATATACAAAATGAGAATATATATTAATATTATTATTAAAATGCCATGACCGGCGAGATGTTAAAGAAAATATTATCACATCGTATTCCTTCCCATGGGTATCACCCATCGTCTTTGAAAAAAGTGGCTTTATAAGACTCCTTGTTGATTGTAGTCGACTGAACCATTGCCAAACGAGACTCATTTCCGTCACCTAGACTAGACACCACCTTAGGCTCATTAAATTATGCTGCTTGACTGTCGGCACCAGATCCAAACTCTGGATACTGGCAAGCTAAAGAACGCCTCCATTTTGCCTACCGTGTTTTACAAATCTAAGACTACGCCGTTTGGGCTACATAATTCTCTCATAACCTTTAAAGGGCTGATGCAGATGGTGTTATTTTAGCTGGCACTTCGTAAGCGCCTTGTCAACTAAGATGATATAAAAAACTCGGTAAATGGTTAGAAGATCGCATATAGAACTTGCAGAATCTCTTCGGACGTATAGGGGCTCACAGACTGAAATTTTAGCCTATCAAACGCCAGTTTCTCCAGTGTGAAGTAGTCTTTCTGGGTTACCACATTACATCATAGGGAATTCAAAGAGATCCAAGTAAGACCAGACTCGTTGCAACTTAAGATCCATCTAAATCATCCATCGATCTCCGGATTTTCCTCAGGCCAGTGTAATAATATCGATGGTTCGTACCTAATTTCGCACCGTAAGCAGCACACTCACATCGACTTACTGTGAAGAGGTGGGAGTTGGACGGAGTACGAAACTACAAAGGTCATGTGACGAATTAAAAAAGGCTTCGTCCGTCCCAGTAAGCAGCAGACGCAGACAAGAAACTCGCCTGATTGCGTCAACATCAAAGGAATAATAAACTGTCGCTTTAGAATTAAGAACCATGTTAAACGGAATACTGAACCGGTAAGTCAGCATTGTCATCATGGAGCCACTGGTTCAAAACAGGGTAACCGATATATATTGGTGGTGGTCAACCAATTTACGGAATATTTTGAAGCAGTGCATTTGTGGCGGGTGAAAACGTATAAGCTATGGAGTTAATGGACGAATAGATTGCTGAGTTGGAGCCCACAATAATAACGTTCTGCCTAGGGCGTGGCTTTTCAAAAAACTGACTTATCACTCACAGCTGCAACGTATTTGGTGTCTGGAAAACTCTCATAACTGCGTATTAGACAGAAGCAAACGGCTAAGTAGAACATGCTAATCAAATGATTAATAACATACCCGGAGCTTTCCTCAGACGATTGTCCACAGAGACTTGGGGTGATGCGATACCCTAGTGTATTTTTTCCTCCTGCCGACGTTGTTGTGCCATTTATAGCCACGGAACTACCTAGCTGTGATCATATCCTGCAAAAATGCTTCTAATATGTGGAGACTATTTAAGGAAATCACTGGTGGTAAGCAGATAAACAATATCCCGCATTCTCCTGATGTATGTACTCTTAATAAATCTTTTATTTATTCTCCCTCAAATTCCATGCGTCCCACTAGTGGTAATAATAGACCCTTTCCAGGTTTTAACACAAATGATGTTCGAAAGTGCCTCAAGTCTCTGAACCCTTCCCAGAGCTTAGGTCCAGATCATGTACCTAGTATTATTTTTTAAAAGTGTTCTCATTCTGTGTCACCCTCTCACGGATCTGTCTAACAAATCTTTTTCCAGTAATATTGTGCCTGCCGTTTAGAAAGACATTAAAGTTGTACCCATATCTAAATCGTCTACTGGAGCATGTGTCAAATTTAGACCCATTGCTATTACCTCTCCTTTTTTGAAAACTATGGAGAAACTACTTTTACTTAGTCTTGTACCCTCTCTTAAATCCTTTAATGACCCAAAACAATTTGCCTATAAGCACAGTAGAAGCACTTTAGATGCAGCTACCGTCTTATATCATAACATTGCTTCCAGTCTAGACAAAGGGGCTAAATTTGTTCGCTGTGCTTTCCTAGACTATACATCTGCTTTTGACTCGGTCCCTAGGGATATCTTATTAAATAAACTTGCTGCAAGTCAAACGGAATGTTGGGCTGTTAACTGGTTACATTCTTATTTCTCAGAAAGAAAGCAGTACACCGTGTATAAAGGGAAGTCTTCCACTTCATTGCCTACTGAAGCTGGTGTCCCTCAGGGCGCTGTCCTTTCTCCTTTTCTTTTTTCTTTCTTCTTACATGACTTGCCTCACTCTGATGAAATAAACTTCGTGAAGTACGCTGATGATTTAGCTGTTTCAATGGCTGTTAAATCCCACCTAGATTGTACCAAAATAAATAGCTTTCTGTCGGGAGTCAGTAAATGGTCTGAGTCTAACGGTCTTAAACTGAATCCTTATAATTGTCAAACTGTTAATTTCAGCTTCAGATGTAAACGACAGTTAAAAGAAGCCGTCGATTCTCATGACAGTTGTAAGATTGATGACAATGATATAGGAATTAAATCAGAAATTAAGTATCTTGGACTTGTTCTCTCTTCTGATCTCCCCTGGTTTTCCCATGTCTCAGCAATCTCCAGTAAAATATTCCGCCTGACATTTTACATTAAGAAGTTAAGGCACTCGGGCATAACTCAACCCCTCCTCTTACAGTTCATAAACTCTTACATCCTAACAATTCTTCTTTATTGTTCACCCTTATTCTTTCCTGGTTTGCTTAAAAAGGACTTTGTCACAATTCGTAGAATGCTGAAGACTGTCAGTAGGATGAGTGGTGTCCCAGTGGACTACATAGTTAACGTCGTTGTCGATAGGCACTTGACTTCGTGCAGTAAATTTGCTAAAGGGATTTTGTCTGACTTGGAGCATCCACTTCACCCTCAGCTTTCACCTTGCATCTCATCAGGTAGAACAAGAAGTAACTTCAGAAAACTGTATGCTCGCACGTCTAAGTATAGAAATTCTATGATACCATACTTGGCACGTATTTTATGTGATGAAAATAGCGTCAGGCAAGAACTGACTAACCTTTTTTCATCTAGTAAATAAACAATCTTCTCCATCCATTTTTATATATCTTCAAGTTTTACTTTTATGATTTCTATTATACTTATGGTCCTGCTGATTCTTTGTTTATTATTATTATTACTCTTAGACATTCACTGCTGACATATTTGTGGTATCCATAAACTGTCTGTTGAGGGATTTAATTACGTATATCAAACGTCATCGCTAGTCGAGATGTTAATCAACCCAACCTTCGTTTTAGACAGCAATAGTCACTAAGACTATGGCATTATCGATCCTCTAAAACGAACACACATGGGATGAGACCTAGTAAGACTTTACCCACCAAAACATCTTCTTCAGTAGGCGAAAAAGGCATCGTTAATAAACACCCTTTCGAACAGCTTCCAGCTTAGTTTGACCTGGCTAAAAGATTCGGCAGATAGCATGGTCAGAGATCATGTCTAGCGGGAAAAGTGGTTGCACGACAACCATAAGCGTCATCTCTGGTTGAAGCCAACTGACATCAAACTCAGTGTCGTCCCAGTAAGTTAACTAGACTGTTGACTAATCTGCCCCAACTGTCACGCCTCATGAATTATTTCAGGAAGACAAATGTTGGCGAACATTCAGCGAAGAGAAACCACCCTTCCCAGAGCTGCGTGGGTAAAAGAATGATAAAGGAAGCACTGATTTTGGCGTCTTGGCCACAACGGCACCACTGGCTAATGGCAAATGAGCACTGGAACAGTATGAAGAGTGTTTATATGGAATCTTACATTGACTTTATCAGTATGACAACTATAACAGTGCCTCTTCAGTAACATAAGAAGTGCATAGTACACGCAGAGATTCAGGAGGAAAAATCAGATTATACCACATGTCTATATCGTTTCATTTCTGAGATTTGTGATATATCAGAATTTTAGAAGCAGATCAATTCCGGAAACTGTGAACAGCCCGTACAATTCGCACCAAATTTTTTCCCAGGAAAAAAAGTTTGTGGTTAGGGAAATAGGTGAGGATGATCTTCAGAATCTAGGGACAACGAAAGCCACTTACCGCTAATTTGGGACTGAAAAGATCCAACTAATTTTGTGATTCCTAAGCACTGTGATAGAGATTTGACAGAATAGTTCTCATATTACTAACTTTTCCATATCATATGCTGATTTCTTTAATATTACTTGCACTTGTTACTTTTTATTTTCTAATTTTGATACTTCTCCTTGTGGTCGGACGATACATTGTTGTAGTGTTCAATTTCGGTTGTTAATTGAATCAAGGTCATCGAAACCTAGGACGGCCTTCGCGAAGCGTTGGTTAGTTGTTTCTGTTGACGGTCTAGTTTGTTACGTATGTGCTACTGGAATCTATGGTACTTCTCACGGTTGAATTTCGATTAACTAATTTTTTTCTACAGTTTATTTTTACGCCAACTTTCTTTTGCCCGTAGATCTGTCAAACGGCTCTTGTCAAGTAAATGCGATTTTGATAATACTGTTTTGATAGAACCACATATTTTTCTAAAATTTTGATTTACAGCTTGATTCCACACCGTATTTTCAGTACAAGTGTGGAGTTTTCAGCATGGATATCGGTAGCCCAAAATCAGGCCGACCATAAATATCGGGTGTGCGCCGGCAGGGGATCGAACCCCGGACCATGTGCATGGTCGGCGAGAGTCCTAACCACTGTGCCACCGACGCACACATACATTAATCCACCAATAATTTTCTGCTATCTTTGAAGCTTTTTCCCACTTCACGTCACATGGAAGCTAAGAAAAACTACGCAGTACGCGGGAAAGATCGCATGCATGAGTTCAAAGAACAACAAGCCGAATATTGACGCGGCAAATTTGGTACGCGAATTTGAATACCAAAAGAAGTCCATATTGATAACAAATAATTTTTGCACACAAAACACGTTTAAGCATCTTTATAGCCCTAACAAATTTAAGTATTTGACCCAAACCTGTTTCATATATGGGTTTAAAGAGATTATTGAAACCATACATGTACTTTGGTAAACATAGCAGGATGTGACACTATTGTTCAGATACTGGGGGGCTGACAGTTTAACATTGATCTCGTTTTATCTACAGAAATAACGTGGGCTGCTCAGTAAGTTCTATTAATTGGTGCTCTGAATCTTAATGTTGATAACCCTTCAACGGTAGGGATGCATAAATATGCTTTTCGTGAGCTGATTGGAATAGCGGGGCCCTTCGTTTGATATTTATGTAACGCTCAATGAATTTCAGACGTTAGTTATCTAAAAATATTTTTGTGAGGTTTTATAATTCTTATGCGGTGTCCTCTGTACGTATATCGTGGATGCGTCTGAATAAGCACTTAATTAGTGTCTTTTCTTACTAGAGTGGACACAAACTATGATGCCTTAGATACTGTCCCGTCCATGTGAACTTCCTGTAGACAGATCCTCCTATTGATCCATCTTGTCGGCGAGTTATTAGTACCTCGGGAATTGGTAAACAATTTTTGTCCCTTTGTTAACGATGTGCTCTTTATTACTGTATTATCTGGTCAATGATTTCTGTGGCATGTTTTGGTTTATCGCAAATTACTATTGTGTCATTGATGCACCTTTTATAAAAATAAACTTTTCCGATCACGTCCCCATTTAGGTTCTTGGCATGTGACGTGCATATATAAGCTAATAATTGAAATAGAAATATCACCGGTTTGGCGGGAATGCTCACCCTCAAATGTAAATTTGGTATTGTTAGTACATAAAATCAGTAACTCTTTCATCAAGATATAGAAACTGGTTATTAGAAATTGTTGTTAGAAATGTAGTCACAAAATGTCAACTGTCTGCAACAGATACATTTGTAAGTAAGGAGTCAAGAAAAAGGGGAAGCAAGGTTTTTTGTTTTATATTAATGTTGTGAAGACACTATTAAGTCAAACTTGGAGAGACTTATAATAGACTGTAGTATCTCAACCGACCAAACCGCAAGCTTGTTGGTTGGAGGTCTAAACATTAACATTATGGAACGAAGATGAATGTTAGGTTTATGCGTTTTTAGTAGATCATAAATGTGGATTAACTAGGATTCCGTGGATTTTGATGAATTGAATTTCTCTTTGATAATCATATTAACACTTGAGAGTTTAACTGGATTATTTTTTCACCTTACTTTGCAAAGTCTTTACATCTTCTGAAGAGGAGTCTCTAGTAAATTTGTTTTCACCTTCAAGGATGCATAACGTTTTACTTTTGGATTCGCCTTTTTTCCATTACCACTACACCAGAATCTTTATCTGATCTGAGAATAAGACTGCCATTATTATGCTTATTTCTTTAAAGCTTGAAAGTGTTCAGATATAGGATACTTTTCTGAAGTGTACGACCATTGCAGAATTGGTGAGCGATTTCAACTAAATTAACTTTAAACCAACCATGGCGATCATCAGAAACAGAGACAAGAGACTTCAGTTGATCATATGGGTTCTCAAATTCTGCCTGAATCTTCACTTCTGAAGACCACTTTTGTGGCCTCACATACATAGGAAGGACCCGTTGATCTCTGCAGGTCACAGTAACAGAACACATTTCGAAATGGCTACAATGACAAATAAAATCTCCGTACTCCATTAGTCCGCGAAATCGACGTCCAACATGTGTCACAAAGCATATCATCGAGACAGGTAACAAACTTGGTTTCAATAATCTCTTTAAACCCATATATGAAACAGGTTTGGGTCGAATACTTAAATTTGTTAGGGCTATAAAGGTGCTTAAACGTTAATATCAGTAAAAAGTTTGAGCATTGTGGATTAGATCAAATAAAGTATAATTATATTTCAATAGTTTACACACAATGATAAGTTTTGTTATTGGTAATATTTCGAGCAAAATTACTACCCGTGTTCACACCACTGTTGGAATTGTTTGATTCACACATTTATGATTTGTACTCATATATATAGTTCATTATTTTTGCTCATTCATGTTTATTTTGTATTTAAGTTATATTCCACGTTCATTCATGTGTTTGTATTCAGAATTATATTCCAAGTTGTTGATAGTTGTACTGAGTCACCCTTGTTACATGTATCTGGTGTGACTTTAATGAATATCGATTCTGTTATAAGTCTTTCTTTCCATTTGTTCATGTTAGTTTTTAGAATACACACATTGTCCCAATCGATATTGTGGTTTTTGTCCCATGCATGTGCAGCTATCGATGCACTTTTTTCAAGATTTTTGTAGGCTTGTGTTCCTGTTGGTTGACCTTTGGTTAAGCGTTTATGTTTATTCACTCTTATTTTGAGTGATCTGGACGTTTGCCCCGCATATTTAGTTGGACAGTCTGCACAAGTTATTTTGTAAATCAAGTTGTTTTTATCCATAATTTTTTTGGATCTTTCAGTTGATTTATTTTATTTTTGATTAGGGAAACCAAAAGAAGATAATGGCCTAAAAGAAAGAACACAGTTATCCGTAGAAAAGATAATAAAGGGGTGGGATTCTGTCTGACAACAACATATTTCACATTCGAAGGGAAGATATACCAACAAAATGAAAGTGGCCATGGGATCGCCTATCTCACCAATAATAGCTGACATATTCATGGATTATTGGGAAGAGAATGCCCTTAAACCATTCAGGTCATCACTGAAATGTTGCTGGAGATATGTAGACGACACACTAGTAACAGTGAAAAAAAAGATATTGAGAAACTCTTCTCACACATAAACAGCCATGTCGACTCAATAAAATTCACTATGAAAGTAGAGAATGAAATTGGGGAACTACCTATGTTAGACTGAAAAATACAAAGAATAACAGATGGTAGCATTAAAACGACGCTATATAGAAAAACCACGCACTCTGGAAGATCCCTTGATTATCACTCAGCTCATCCACTCACGGTGAAACGAGGATTAATACAAGGTCTTGCAGATATGATATGATTATGAGCAATAGTTTGTGCTCGAAACGTCATCAGTTAATATAACTGTACTACACTGTGTGATTTATCAAAATAGAATCTTATCTATTATGGAATTCCAACAGTGGTGTGAACACGGGTAGTAATTTTGCTCGAAATATTACCAATAACGAAACTTATCATTGTGTGTAAACTATTGAAATATAATTATACTTTATTTAATGCTTAAACGTGTTTTGTGTGCAAAAATTATTTGTTATCAATCGAGACTTCCGTTGGTATGCAAATCTCTGATAGAACGTGCATTTTGCTGCTGAGTATTGTCGCGGGACCTATGTTTTACAGCATGTCTTTTACCTCATTTATGACGTCATCTTGCTGTATTATGGCTTTGAAACATTTCATGTGCGTAGATAAAGATTCTGAACATTTGTGGTTTGTCGGTTTCTTGATAAATGTGTATGGCAAGTGCGTGTTTTTCCTTATTATGTCTGAAGTGTGTTGCTCAAATACAGCACATGTTGAAGAGAAAACGCGACTTATCGTGTTATTTTGAAATTAACTTCGGAAATAAGTGTTTTTAGCCATGATGTTGATGTCGTTCAACGAAACTGTTGTTTCCAGTTGGAATCGTGTTTCTGTTTTTGTAGACGTCTAGGTCTACTCTTCTGGACTGACATAAGCGTGTTATACATCTTGCTCACAAGTACCCGCTGTATAAAGAAGTATAATTAATTTCTTCATTGCTGTTTGTGACTGCAAACTTACGGTATCATTCTTCCCAACCTTCGACGTATGCATTTTTGGTGCGTGGTGAATGACTAACGTAGTCCAGCTTTGACTTCGTTCTATTAGATGATGATGTATGCTTCTACGGCGTACAAATTCGCTGTTATCATAAGATGTCAGGAAAGTAAGAAACAGCCTATGGTATTTAGAGCGTTGTCCTAATTTTCAATCTGAAATTTATCATATTCCTATAAAGAGTTACATACCTAGTTTACATACAGTACAGTGTGTATGTCAATATTTAAGCTTTTAGCAATTTTGGAAAGTGCTCTTTTGATTTTTACAGGCTTCAATTGGATATGAGTATCTACTTGCGGATTAAACGTTCCAACTCTGATTTTCCGAGTAGTATTTGTGAAACAGAAAATCTTATTAAACGCCCAAAAAGCGATGTGCAGTCAGTTAAATTCCGTTATATTGGCAGTCAAAAAACATCAAAATGTCCACATATGGATAAAATTGATGAAGTGTGTGAGTCTTCGGATAAATTATGCAAGATTGTTTGCAATAAATCGGATGCTACCGTTGTCGATGAGAAGCGCTCAGTAAAGTGTCAGGTGAATACCATAGTTTATATTTTGATATTTTGTAATATTCTTTACTAAAATAATGATCAAGTATTCTTAGTTTTGCTAGTCACTTCTAGAATATGTCATTGAAGAGGAGTAATTCCTGACCGTGTAAACAAGCGGCTTTGGATTTCAGTGAGTTACTTCGCATTGAGTGACACTGCTCTTTCACCTACCACATAAAAAGTATGGTACTGTGTTGCAATAATAGTGGCTGGTCTATGACTTATTGGTTTAGGTACTCCACTTTTGAACTTCGTGTCACCGGTTCAGGTTCTGCTCCAGATAGCAAGGATCGGGTTACCTAGTGGTATCAATTCTCACTTCATATTAGTTATCACATACAATGTTTATGTGTTTGAACACTTTTTGGTGGACTGATTTACTAATTTACAGTGAAATAACGACACATCTGACCTAAATTGTGTTTTCTCTAATGATGTAGAATAGACTGATATTCCATGTTTCTCGATCTGAAAGTATTATTTGTCCTACCGTGAGTTTTCCTGGTAATGTATGGCTGTGAAGTAACTGTTAAGGAAGTAGGGTGTCAGTGAAGATATTTTCGGAGGTATGCTTTGGTATAGTATCTCAAGGACAGTTGTTTTTCGAAATAACAATAAAGAATGCCCAATGTCACCACTTTTATTTGGTTTTAATACACATTTACTGAAGTGTAAATGGGCACTGTGGTAGTGTGTAATTCCATATTGATTTGTTTGTTGGATATTTCACACAGTGAAACAGCATAGTTTGCTGGATAACGTTTTGAACTCAAATTACTTTTTAAAATCATATCAGTTGTAGCTACACAACTTCGAAACTTGATCTTTATAGTTCGCATGATTCTTACCAATTTCCTATAAAGGTGGTGGTATTTTTCAGATCTCTGGGGTAGGTAATAATTCATTCTTTTTGTATGCATTTTCAGTTGATTCAACCGATAAATCCTTGATATGCTTATGAACAATAAATTGTGTTCGAAATGTGATCTCTCAAGTAATACTATTTCACTGTGTGATATATTCAATAAACAGTTCAGTGATATAAATAACTTCTAATTTTGACGTTTAGAGAGTTGAACTGCGGAAAAAAAAGGTACCCGGTTGGTTTGGTGCCGGGGCTTTTAAACACGGAGGAAAATTTCGAATGTTTGGTTTATAATGAAATATTACACAACAACCTTACTCACTTACATCGACTTTGCGTAGAAATCTGTAGGTGGAATAACGTCTGAACCTGTGATCCATTGATTAAAAGTCGAATGCTTGAACGGGCAAGTCAGAAATCTACATGTCCTGTCTTTTGTGAAATGTAGGATAGATACAACAGGACTTATCTGGATAACTTCTAGTTGAAAGATAAAACTTAAATTGATTGAATAGATTTATCATTTTGTTTACTTTGGAAGTAATGTCAGCCTTGGCAATACTGTCTCTGAAGAAACCTCAACACAAATATTGACGACTTATTTGATTTTCTGCAATTCGAGTCACTTTTTAACTCTGCATAGGTACTGAGCAACTTTTCAAAAGATATGCATTGCTTATCACCAGTTCATTCTTTTACGCCGTTGGTGGCACTCAGAAGAAAGCCCTAGATCATAATCTCATACCTATCGGCATCAGTCAGGAAGGCGTATTCGCAACCTCGAAGTAACAGATACCTCCTCAGAGAATGTAATTTGTTACCCATTGCTGAAGTCAGAGACGCTACCACTACGTTCTCTGACACCAATACTGAGGACTGTTAGTTACTTCATAGTGATCAGTCAATTAGTTTATTCTTTTTTTAATCTAGGGCTTTGATATGTGACCTCTGGAAGTAGGAGATGTGAAAAGACTACAATATTACATCTTAGTTTCATTTATTCCATTGCTTACTGCAGATGGATTCGCATGATAAGTATTGTTGAAACCAGGCACGAAATGTTGCGTAGGAAAAGTGAACCAGTCAATGAAGAAATGAGTCTCTCTCAGCGAAGGTGGCCATGATTTGTTTTACGCATATCGAGCTACCACCTCCCTCAGAGTATTTCTGACTGAAGTAATATTAAGTTTGAGAAATGTTACAGATGGTCAGAACAAAGAGTGATTGTAATTTATTAAGTCTCTACTTAATGTTTTAAGCTGCATAGAGGCAAGTGTGTGGTCCGACTGGCGTCCTCAGGATTCTCAGAAACGATTGTTAGAGAATGTTTGTAGTATATCTTGGTGTCGTTCACACTGTGACAAATGTATTCAAGTCATACCGAAATTCTGAACATTTCTACAAAATCCTCTCCCATTACACATTCTTGTTTAGTTTAATATAATCGTGTTTCTTCTCTTATTTGTCACTTTATTGGTTACTTAGACTAATGTACTTGTGAGCAGCGTTCTAAATTCGCCAGTCAGTCAAATAATATGTATATATACTTTTTTAGTGATGAAAAATATTTGAAAATACGGTTGTAAAATTGGTGTGGTTACCGTGGATAATTAGTATAAACATCCAAATTTAAGTAAGACTTATTTGTGAAACAGTACTGAATAAAACTTTTAAACTGATGTTCGAAGCCACGTTAATAAAAATGGTTTACGAGCTTCCCTTGTAACCGGGAGGTCCTTGGTTCGAATCCCGATGGGTGCGTACTGATGCAGAGTCCCATACTAGGACGAAACGGCTGTCCAGTACTCTCAGGTTTTCCAACGGTTCTCTAACCGATGTCAGCTCATGATGTAGCCAATCAAATCACTGCAAACCAGTACTTGAACATGAAAATCATAATCTTTTCTCTCAGCTAAACACTTCTATTTACTTCCGTGTTTGTAATTGTGCATTCACTATATAGATGCGCTAATTGTCCTCGATATTTTTCTTTTCTTCCATGTATTTAGGTCAAAGTGAACAGTTTGAAACGTCCAGCTTCTAATAATATTTTTGATCAATTCAATAATCTCAGTGTTGATTCATCTGACAAATCCACTGGTCCTCGTCCTCCAAAAATATTCAAAATAATTGAATTAACTCCAGAATCTACTTTATCGAATTCATTAAAATGTAACAATAAAACTGATGATGATGATAATGACGGCAATACTAACGAAAATAACAGAAAGTGTAGTGAATCGAACTTTGTATATGATATTTACAAAATGATGCCAGATTCAAATTACTCAGCTGAGTCAATAATATGGTGTCCAGATGATAACATATCATCAAATGATAATCCTTTGATTAAAAACATGCATAATTATATCTGTGGTGATGATGACCAAGCTTATGATGATGATTTTTATAGTGGCGATGTGCTTAACCATGATGATGAGGATGATTCGAACAGTGAATCCAATTGGCGAAATGATTATCCTGATGAAATGAGTTCATCTAGTGACTCTGACAGATCAAGAAGTAATACAGAATCAGATTGTGATTATTACTATTAATATTCTATCAACTAGGAAATTCACTTTATTTCAGTAGAAAAACTATATGTATATATTATTTCTGTAAAATATTAAAATACTATCTGAACCTTCTTTTCTTATATCTTCATTCCTTTCTGTTTTGTATGGAAAATAGAGCTTTAAACCTTAAAGTTACAGTAACAGTAGTGTTGTTTCTACGGGGGAGGTAGAGTCGCCTTATTTAACTGGCAAAGAAACCAGCATGTAATGAGTTTTCCTGGTTCCAGTCTCCGAATGGAAATACCAGGTAGATTATGTTACTTCTTATGGAATTTTCATCCAGTAAAGGTATGCTTACTTAGTAAATGGTTACAGGTGTTAATTATTTCATGCGTCAGCCTTCAAGGATAAGCAGTGTTAGCCTTATAAATTCAGAACCCACGCAGACTTGGAAGTTGGTATAAATTCAGTTGCATAAGGGGTTTGTTTGAGGCTAGCACTGTTTGTTGCGAAGATCTTGTCTACTTGATTGAGACAATAAAACAAATTTATCGATTATCAAATGTTGGTTTGCAAGCTTAATCACGAACTGATATCATTTGGAGAACCACTAGAAAACCAGGTAGCATTGGACAACAGTTTCTACCCAGTTCAGAACTCTTCGGTAGTATACACCCATCGGGATTCGAACCCAGGACTTCCCATCTACAAGGTGAGCTCGTAGACCATTCAGCCACTGGGACCCGATCCGATAGCCCATAAACCTCAACTTCTTCCCATTTTATTGAGATTGAGAAAAACTTCTAGACGAATAATGTGTATGTTTGGCGATTACTGATATTGCAGTAAGTTTCCCTTAAAGCTTCTCTCATGTTATGCCTGTTCTGATTGTAGACAAAAGATAATTAAAATATTGCAAGATTTGGCGGTCTGTGATTTTAGGCTCCATGGAATGATTTATGCACAATACTGAATTTCTAAAATAGAACCAATGGTCGTTAGTTTTTAATAGTACCCTGCTTAAAGATTTCTACTTATAAAAAAACTCCCAAGTCTATAAAGAACGATAGCAAAAGTCAACTTTCCTTTTATGCAAAATATTCTTTTATAGAAAGATACTAATAACAAAGCAAAGTGAACCATAGATTTTGTAAGTTTTTGTCTCAACGTTTTTGTGTATTTAGTATACATTTAGAGTAACACAATTATATGGCTAGTTTAATGTCTGGCATTTCAGCAATTATTGCTCGAAGCGCGGGTAAACAATGCAGTGACACACACAGTTTTCCAATCTCATTAGTGTTTTCTGCTTCGTCGTTTACATCTTTAGCGGAGGTAACTAAATCAAAGAGCAGAACAGTGGAAAGATGAACGTTATTACTGATTATCTAAAAAGTAGTGCGCATAAACAGGGAAACACTAAAAATTCCAGTCATTTTTGTTTTAATTAGTAATATGTTCGAGGACTGATTCATATTCACCACTCAACCCTACAGAAGATATGTCACAGCGATAAGTGATAAGGTCTATAACTTCATTACTGTGTTATGCAGTTCGGAATTTTTGAAGTGTACTCAAAACTGCAAATATATTCTCGGAGCGAGTGTCAAGAAGCATGGATTAATTTGGCCCATTCCCCGCAAAATTACTACTTATGTGTTATTTCTTTGTTTGCGTTTCTAGTGGAACATAGGGCTTTAAGCTCTAGGTTTGAAGTTTCAGTCACATTTGTGTTTCTTTTTAAAGAATGGGGTTGCTAACTTCACACCCAACCTCTCCTCTTTGCTTGGCTTACTAACCGGCTAAAAGAGGTTTAGGAATGGGTCAGCTGCCGGTCGAACCCCGTACCACGTGCGTGCTTAGCAAGTATTCTACCACTGAACCATATATATATATATATATATATATATATATATATATATATATATACGCCACCAGTTATAGTTTCATTGAAAATAAAACTATTTGACAGTTGTTCCCCTCATGTTCAGGACTTCTGAGTGTCGCTCATAACATAGCTTCCCAGATCAACAGTCAGGTCTTGTTATGAGTACGTCATTTACTAAGCCAGAACCCAACAGACTGTTCTCTCAATCCCATATTATTTTTTGGTGTGAATTATCTAGCAGTTCCCAAATGAGCTGAAACAATGTCTACTGTTCCTTGCTTTTCAATGGTGTTATGCAAAATTCAAAATGAACTGGTTTCTCACAAACATTTTTATCGATTTAAGGTGACATGTAAAATAACCGTTTTTTGGAAGAATTTTCATTCATCTCCGATATTACACTCATAACTTTTTCTCAGAAAAAGTGACTTCACTGTATTTCATTATAATGATAAACGAACACAGTCCAATAGAATAAATAATATCACTTTATTACCTCTCCAATGATTTTGTAGGTTTTTAGTTACAGAAATTATGAGTTTGTATATTCTTTTTTGTTAACTTTCATCTCGTGACCCTTTTAAAGCAGTGCGCACAACAAAACTGAAGTGATCAAATATAAATCATTCATAATTTGAATTGATGCTGCTCATAAGAAGTCATATGATTGTGATTCACCAATCCTTCATTTAACTTGGCCGCTATCATCATCCGATAACTTCGGTTGACAAACGTGATTATTTGGGAGTTGCTTAATGTTACAGATTGTAGCCTTCAATTCGAAAATCGAGGGACTCATATAAAAGTCAATTATTAATTGGTGTTGTGGAGACTTGGCTCCTTAGCATGAGTACTTGAAAATCCGTTCCATTCACCTTAGGATTTTTAAATGAATCAACCAGCTCCATACACCACACCATCTTGTCGAAAACAGACTTTCCCTATAGATTTAAAAGCTATATGATTATCTTCTGCTGATTTTCTTAAAGTGATTATAATCATTATTGGAATGGGGTTAAATTAAAGTTTTTAACAATCGCTTACTTGCAATAAATGCATGATCAATAGGAGAATTATCTTTCACCATTTGTCGTATATTTATGACAGCATAACCGACTTCTTCACATTCACTTGATGCCGACTGCATTGTGGATGGTTCAGCGACAATTACAAAAACTAATTTTCCATTATTTGGATCCTGAGGAAGTAGTAGACTAGCTAAATATTGTCTTTGTTCATAATTATTTGTAAAATCTACTGGAAATGCTAAAAATACAAACGAAAAGAGTAAATGGAATACAATACAAGGTTGTTTAAGTAAATATATACTAGTGAATAAAATAAGCAGTAAGGAGTTAACCAAACTGAGCTGTTGGTTTCAATAACCAGTTTATAGTGATTTGAAATACTGGATGAAAGTTGTGTTTATTCTAAATCAAGCATGCTATTAAAGATTTACTTCACTGGGGAATTTTGTTACATAAACTAAAGCACCGAAGTGGTCAGACCTGTTAACTAGGCGTTTAAATCTCCGTTTTTGTCCGACTTTTGAGTTGTTGCCAGTTGTAACTTACGTTACCAGTATTCAAGAGTCAGATTGTTTTCAGGCTTTATATCTAATAGATAGCGTTTAAAGTTTTACGAACTAACAGACTGTTTAAGTAAAATTTTGTAAATGAAGTTGGTTGTTAGATACTTTAGGTATTGGAAGACTAATTTGTGAGATTTATATTGCTAATAACTGACAATAACCTCTGACCTTTGCTGTCAGCTAACGTTGTATACATAAACCACCAAAATAACTGTACAGCTTTGAAGTGAAGTTACGAAAAGAGATCTCTTTGTGGATTTATGTGTTCTTAGTTGCAGATCAATATTTTGATGTTCGATTTACAGGTATTTGAATAATTTCAAAATATGTTTCATCACAAATTGATTCTAATCAGGGAATCATCGAAAACTAAAAAAACATACTACCAATCGACTTCATTAGTGCCGTCATTACTAGAGAAACCTAGACTAGTAAGCAACAAATCTCTATGATTTCTTCGGTTTCAGTAGTTTTCTAAAAGATATTCAGATTCAAATAATTTTGTATCTATGATAGCAACCCTGCCCTAATGTCTGAGCCATCATATACAAGGCTAGAAACAACTTGGCCAAATCATTGCGTATCCGACTCATCTGTATTGCTGAAGCTTTGGCCATCAAATTGGAAAGCCAGATCTCTGTATGCAGAAAAAGGTTTGTTCAATCCCTCCAACTCTATGGCCTTAATCCGTCTATACTAAAGTGTGATAATCCCCATTCATACTGAGCCTGTACTTATTTTTCGTTTTGTTTATTCAGTGTGTATATCCTCCCCTTGTTATGTCGATTTTTACTATTATTATTCTCACTTTGAACTGTTCCCGGTATTATTTCACTTGTCCTGCTTGTCGTTCTAAATCAGGATTTTCTTGGCGATATCAAATTCAAAGTTTGCGAATTTCACACCATGTTATGTAACGGTTTTATTTGCCTATCAATCTAATAATTTCACATCCCCTTCCAACATCTATACATCCTATGAACTATTCGGTATATTCAGCAGAATTCCCTCGTGGGATATAATTTATTAATTAAGACCACGCTCGAGGTCCGGGGTTCGATCCCCAGCTGACGCACTCCTTTACCTCACTAAGTCAGTAATAAGATTAGTAAAGAGGGAAGGACATTTGGCTAGCAGTCCCATCCCGTAGAAATAAACACCACTGCTACCGAAACGTCAAGCCTGTAGCTTGATGCCCTGTGTTTCGCTGGGAACGTAAAATGAATATATATATATATATATATATATATATGTACAATTTCATAATAAATCCGTTGAAAAGAGTCTCTTCGCTGAATATTGTGTTCTTAATGTTACAATGAGAATTAATAAATTATTTTATGTATGGCATTATTTGTTTTACCATTTGATAAGGCCAAGTTAAACTTCAAGCAACAGTAAATGCCATTGGAATGTGGCTACATTAGTGACCTTGGAAAGCCCAGTGAACAAGTTAGTGAAACCAAGCTAATCATTATAATCATGAGCAAAATATGCCTAATGAAATGTTTCGATGTTAAACAGGATATCTGGTAAGTTTTAAATTTGATTTGGGAAAGATTAAGTTTTAGGCTTAGGACAGGTTAGTGTTATGATAACCTAGGAAGCAAGATATTAGGGTTGTTTCAAGGTAGATTGGAGTTAGTTTAGGGATAGTTTCGCGTCAGAGTAGGTTAAGGAGAGATATGGTTAAGATTAG